CGCGCGGTGCCGCCGTCCTGCCCGGCTGCGGAGGGCCGTGCCCGCTGCCCCGCACGCTGCCTGCCGGGCCCGCTGCCACCGCCACGAGCTGTTCATCAGCTTCCGCGACCTCGGCTGGCACAAGTGGGTCATCGCGCCCAAGGGGTTCATGGCCAACTACTGTCACGGCGACTGTCCCCTGTCCGCGGCCGCCTTCCTGAGCAGCTCCAACTACGCCTTCATGCAGGCGCTGATGCAGGTCGCCGACCCCTCGGTGCCCTCGGCCGTGTGCGTCCCCACCAAGCTCTCGCCCATCTCCATGCTCTACCAGGACAACGGCGACAACGTCATTCTGCGGCACTATGAGGACATGGTGGTCGACGAGTGCGGGTGTGGGTAGGGGCAGGCGTGGGCACGGCAGGAGGGGGCTTGGGTGACACAATAAAGCGGAGACACCTTGGATCTAAGTGTGAGTCCCTCGTGGTTAGCGATGCCTGTGAACACACACACACACACACCCTGCAGCCCTAGTGAGGCACGTGATAGGACAGGGTACTCTGGACAGAAGGAAACTGGTGTTTACTGGTGGCCTTTGTATAGGCAAGCATGATCCTATGTGTGACTTTACAGATGTTTCATTGTCCTTTGAGATAGTCGTTGTTCCTGCCTGGCAAGCACAAGGTCTTGGGCTGGGGATTTAGCTCAGCGGCAAAAGCGCCTGCCTGGCAAGCGCAAGGTCCTGAGTTCGGTTCCTGGTACTGGAGAAAAACCAAAAAAAAAAAAAAAAAAAAAAAAAAAGCACAAGGTCTTGAGTTCGATCCCTGGTACCGGGAAACGTGCAGGTGTTACATTATCCTAAGCCACAGCTTTCCCCCTGGAACTCATTTTTTTATTTTTTATTTTTTGTCGTTTTTGAGACAAGGTCTCACTATGCAGTTCAGGCTGGGCTTAAGTTCACTTTGTAGCCCAGGCTGGTCTTGAACTCCCAACTATCCTCCTGTCTCAGCCTCCCCAGTGCTGGGATTGCAGGCGTGAGCCACCACGCCAGCTGGAACTCATTTATTAAATGGTGCTAGTTATAAAGAAAAATTTGGAGGAAGGAAGGGAAAAGGATGTAAAAGGAATTAAGATATGCACATGTACCAAGTCCCCACAATGAATGTAACCGTTATGTATGGCAAGCGTGTACTAATCAAAATTAAAAACAAAAAGAAGGCTGGTCATAGTGGTGGTGCACACTTGTAATCCTGAGATGCTGAGGCAGGAGGATCACCAGGAGTTGGAGGCCCACTGGGCTATATAGTGAGACCCTGACTCAAAAAATAAACAGACAACCCTGACTAAGTTGGGTCAATTCTCTGGGTAAAAATTTATCACTGAAAATGTTCAGTTGTTACTTTTGTCTTTTTGCAGTAAGTATAATTTGTCTTTCTGAGAAAGTTGCACACAGATCTTAGGGAAACTTACTTGAGAATAATTGCTTTAGCCACAAACTATTTTCACCTTTCAGATAATAAATAGTAATTCTGTGATGAGTGACTTGTTTCAGACTCCTGAAGTGTAATTATCCAAAGACTCCGACAATGATAGTGAAATCCATATCATTGTGGGAGCATCTCACTACCCTGAGTATGAGCAAGGAGTTAAACCTCATAGAAGGAAAAGGACATTGTTTTGTTTTTGTCTTTTTTTTTTTTTTTGGTTTTTCTCCGGTACCGGGAACCGAACTCACGACCTTGCGCTTGCCAGGCAGGCGCTTTGCCGCTGAGCTAAATCCCCAGCCCCTGTTTTTGTCTTTTTGAGACAGGGTTTCACTGTGCAGTCAGGCTGGCCTTGAGCTCCCTTTGTAGCCCAGGCTGGTCTCAAACTCACAAGGATCCTCCTGCCTCAGCCTCTCGAGTGCTGGGATTATAGGCATGCGCCACCACGCCTGGCTGGAAAAGGGCATTGTTGTAGACTAATTCATGGGTGAAGATAGTGTCAGGTAATCCAGTCATCTCCCAAAGCCCCGGCTTGGGCATGTGAGACTTCTGAGGGACATTCTCGTAAGCCACAACCCTGGGAAAGGGATCTACTGCTTAGCCACATCCCCAGCCCTACGAGGCTGTTTCAGAGGAAGGGATGAGCTGGTTCTAAAATGCCTATGGACACGCAAAGCACTAAGAATAGCCAGAAGAATTCTGCAAAAATAAATATTAAGCTGAAGCACTCATGCTGCCCACTTGCAAAACTTACTGTGAAAGTTATAGAGGGCCAGGCACTTCCTGCTTTTGATCCTCTCCCCCACTTCATTAGTTTGTCACTCATCACAGAATTACTATTTATTATCGGAATAATAATAAATAATCCCAGAGCCCTGGTTGAAGTGGGAGAACTGCAAGTTTCAGCCCAGCCTGGGCAACATAGCAAGACCCTGTTTCAAAGTAAAAAATAGGGGATTTAGCTGTGTGGCACAGTGCCTGCCTGGCAAGTGCAAGGTTGTGAGTTTGATTCCCGGTACCGGAAAAAAAAAATAAAAAGAAAAAGTAAAAAAGAAAAAGAAAAGGCTGGGGTTGGAGCTCAGTGCAAAGTCCCTGAGTTCAATCCCCAATGCCAAGGGGAAAAAAAATTACAGGAGCAGTGGCATAAAGGATCAAAGTGAGAACAAAGAAACAGGTACAGCCTGGATCCAGACAAATGGGGAAAAATGATTTTTTTTTTCTGTCTTTTTCAGACAGTCTCGCTATGCAGTTCAGGCTGGGGCTTTAGCTCACTTTGTAGCACAGGCTGGTCTCAAACTCGCAACAATCCTCCTGCCTCAGCTACTATGCCCGGCCACAAATGATTTTCAACAAGGCCAACAAGGCAGTGTTATGAAGGAAAGGAAAACCTGGTCAATAAATAGTGCTGAAGTAAGGAATAATAACATGGAAAAAATGACTTCTGTACCTCATGCCATCCACAGAAAATAATATGCAATGAATCAGAAGATCTAAATGTAATTAGGTAATTAACTATAAAGCCTCTGTAAGAGATATAAGCAGAAGAGAAAGATAGTGGTGGCCTTGCAGCACATAAAGATTTGTTAGGATAAAATAACAAAATCATTAAAAACTGGTAAACTGGATTTCATCAAAATTAATGATATCTAATATTCAAAAAGCAACATTAACACAATAAAAAAGCAAGTCATAGGATGGTGAAAAGTAGAAAATATTACCAAACAACATGCACGTATCTGTTTTATGTTTTGTTTTGTTTTGTTTTGTTTGAGCCTCGCTATATAGTTCAGGCTGGCATCAAACTCAAGGCAATCCTGCCTCAGCCTCCCAGGTACTGGGATTCCAGGCATGCACCATCATGCCTAGCTTTGACAAATGGATTATAAGCCATCTTGATGTACAGTCCAGACATGCTTTCTCATGTTTTCTGAAATATTGATAGGCTGAGAGAGAGGGAGAGGGAGTCTGAGGCAGGAGAAAAGTGACTTTAAAGGTCAGCCTGAGTCACAAAGCGAGACCCTATCTCGAGAAACACAAAAAGGTATCTACTTATA